TACGAAGTTGTCAGAATACAAATAATTCTTGAGAGTCATTCGCAAAATACATTCTACCTTTTCCCGATAGACTCAAATACAGTACGCAAAAAAAAATCAAGCATATTCGTCGATATATATTCACTACATAGAAATTTCAATAATTTCCGTAGTCTTCGAAATTTTGCAGTAATTACTAAACGAGAGAAAAAGTTTATTATCAATATGGTGATGAAAAACAACTAAAATATGTTTTTTATTCGTCGCTTTTTGCCCATTGTTCAAGATCATTGAATGAATATAAAAAGCGAGAGGCTATTGTGCTACTTTCATCCTTGATTTGAAAAATATGGAGGAAAGCATTGATTACTGCCCTTCAAAACGACTCAAAACAATTCACGAAAAAGCTAAGAGTTTTTTGTCGTATATAAATAATCAGCATATCATCTGATTTTATATAATAAAGTTCGTTATTCTACATTTGAATGTCTCTCGGGCGAGTTGATTCTCGGTCTATTCAAATATTTCAATATCAAAGAAATTCTAGAAACCTTCTTCAATCTTACACTACTCATTAATTCGTGTATATTCAATCGACGTCAAAATTTTCATTTGCATATTGACCGTTGTTTCATGTCCTTTCTTAATAACAAATATTTTTGTGATCAAGTTATCTTATTCCACATTGAACATCTCATTATTGGGGTGTGGGTGTGACTCTTCTCTTTAACTACGCCGACACTTCACCCAGACTTACCCACATCCACACTCACATCCTCATAGAGCACAAAATTCTCCACCAGATACATTATACTAGATTTCCTATTCGACCTTTATAGTACCCTCAAAAAATGATTTTCAATGAAAACAAAACCGCGTCCGAAAAAAATCTGAGTTTTTTTGGAAAGCTCACTTTTTCGGAATCTCATAAGAGACTTTTTTTGTTCAGTTTGATAAACTCTGTCGAATGAGACGTTGCGCAAAAAAAACGCATGTTTTTTTTTGTTGCGATTTTTTAAATCTCCCTCTAGTTGTCAAGCCTATAACCCCATCAAAAGAGGTCCTGAAAGCCAAAAATAACCTTCATAACCTGATCTTTCTTTCAAGCAGCTGAATGAGGTTTTCAAAAAAAGTAACTTTTTTTTGACCATGTGACAGCGATTCTCGATGAGCTGGCAAAATCTCTGTTAATCACATTATGCGTTGTCTTCTATATAGTGTGATCATCGTTGTATGTACTATTATTCAACCTATATGTCTTGATTCTTTTTTTTTTTTAAATAAAATTGTATAACCAATGTTAACATAAAGTCAATTTTTTAAAGTCACAATATCTACTCATATTTAATATTTTTCTTGCATATTAAATACATCTGACGCATGATAAAACATAACGAAAGAAAAAATAACTATTGATTGCAAATAATTTTTTTATCGTTCGTCACTTCATACATGTGTTACATCCTCCACAAGCTCTATACAATCATTGAAAAAAAATGCTGACTCATTGTCACAAACCAGTGTAGCGTATATAAACAACAGAATACAACAACGTTAAATAACAAACGCTACTTGCAATAAGTCAATGACGGTATATTTTCTGTACTTTTTTTTATTAGATTACTGCTTGACCTTTCGTTTACCTTTTCAAGAATAGAATCATGATAGAATAGCGTTGGAACGAATAGAAGCATACGATAGTATTTTGTATTTTATATTTTTATGTATGTTAAAATATTCAGTTTTCTTTTTATGATTTTGATTATATCTGTTTCTCTTTTCCTTGTGATCGCTTCTGACTCAAGCATGCTATCGATTAGCGCAGTTCGTAATTCTAAAAACAAAAACATATTAATAGTTTACAAATATCAAACGTACTAGCACACGATTATGATTTGAAGCAGTTGCAAATACGTATTCGGTGATGAAATTTTATTGAATTGTTTGATCAGGTAATTTTTGAGTTGAAAACATATATTCGATTCTGTATTTTATATCCGTTTATTTTATGATGCATTCTATTCATGTGAAAGTCATAAATAAATCATATTGTAATAGTCGGGCGACAAAATATTCGTTTGTTTTTGTTTTTGATCCTATGAAAGTGACGTGTAAAAACTAATAATAGTTAATATGAATAATTTTTATGCGTTGTTTGCAAGTATGTGTACAGAATTTATGTTTGACTTAAAGTTTATTATCTACGAGGAAATTTTCTTTTTAAAAATAAAAAAAAAATGATGTTTGACGAAGGAATTATTTCAGATGATAAATTATTTTTGATTTCAAACTTTATTCATAAGGTATAGATTTCAGTGAAATATGAAACATCTCAAACAGATAGATATCCTTAGACCTTCTTATCAGAGTTATAGCCATTTTGCTGAAATTTTAGGCTATGGCATGATATGCACCAACGAACTGAATGACAATATTTCAATCCACAAATAGATCTAATTGTTACTGAAATATTCTGAAAATTTCAGCTCGAAATACCGTCATTCAATTTGTTGGAATATATCGTGTCACAGGCTAAAAACTTCAGTAAAATGGCTATGATTCTGAAAGAAAGGTCTAACGGCATTTATCCTTTTGGAACATGTCATATCTCAATGGGATCTACGATAGGCATAGAGTTCGAACTGATTTCCTCGTAAGTCTTGTTAGTGCGGAGAAAAAAATCGAATTGCCGAATCATGCGACTCACGTCGAATTGAACCTTATCGAATTGAGTTGGGTGGGTTATATTTCATAGATCGTTTTGTTTCGTCTGTTGAGAAAGATTTCAAATTAGAGGTTCCTCTTATATCTAGATATGTTTTTATATACAAATCATTACATAGAATATAATATAGACAATAGTGTGTAGTATAGCTTTGCTAAAATAATTAGTTTTGTAAATCCACTCATTTGATTTAAACATCTAATGAAATCTCATACATCGCTCAAAAAGTTTGGTGAATAGCCAGTTGATTGAACAATGCCAATTATATTTTCATCATACCACAATGACAAAATGAAGCGAAGGTTGTAAACGATGAAATCGATTCCCCATATCGAAACTGAGTTTATTATTTCTTCAATAATCAATTTCCATGTCAGCAGTCGATTGCCGTTTGAATTCAACCATTAGACTTCATTCCGACTGTGCACAGTTGCCTCAAACCTCAATATTATCGATCTCCTACAGTGTTATGCTATGTCGTGTTTACATGAAAAATTTGTTTACCTTCTTCAGCTTCTATAATTTGAATTATATATATCAAATGAAAGTTGTTTCTTTTCTCTATCACATAGAATATATGGAGTATGACAAAATATTGTTTGTTTCTTTCTCTTTTAGATGACATGATTCACTTGTATGCATAATATGAGGATACCTACGACAAAAATTCTTCAACACTGAGCTGTAAAAAACAACAGTACACTTTGAATTATATATCTCAAATGTGCAATGTTCATGAATGACAAAAGTTCCCTAACAGAATAAATGACATATTCAGAATCACCATTTTTTTATAACTTTAAAAAACCTATCCAATGATTTATAATTCAAAATGGACAGCTGTTTTTACAATCTTCGATTTCTAATACCTAGTAGATTTATAATGCAAAAATACATTCACTTTCGAAGATGTCTGCGTTTTCAGAAGGATATAACTTAGCATGTCAACCGTTCGTCAAACGAAAAATAGATCATAAATAGGAAGTTACAGTCATTTGTCTGACATTGATATGAATTTAGTATTGCGATACCATGAAGAAAAGAAATATAAAATTATTATATTTATTTTTCTTTCAAACGATTTAGATCTTTGGTCTGTTAGAAAAAAAAAACTTGTTCCTATGAATCGTGATTACGAGAGTCTAGAAAGACTCCACATAACGTAAGTATTCTTTTTCAATGAGAAATATTTTCAATGCATAATGCTAGTGTTTTTTTTTCTATACATAGCTATATAAATTCGTCACTCAAGCGTGGTGTCCGACGTGAACTTAGAAAACTTATTATCATTAATATAAGTAATTTTCTTGCCTGCTTAATTACCCTTTTCATTCATGTCTACTTCAATATCGCTCGTCGATACCATAAACATACGTATAGCAAATTGAGCTATTCCATTTTACTCATTTTTAGTATTCTGAATGCCATATTTGGTCTTTGTTTGGCTATTTACGAGCGTGTACAAAAACAAAAATCAAGAAATAAAATGATTTACTATGAACGTTGTAATTATATTCATCTATTAATTAATATTATCTGCTTTATCTTCTTTGCCATCTTTCTTATTATTCAATTTATTTCTTGGACCAGTACTCTTCATGAAGATACGCCATTATACATCAGTGCGCAGCTCGTCAATATTGTACTACTTCTACTAATTGTGCTAGGTTATGCACTATGTGTTTTATGGAATCGAATTCTTGCTTGGAGTCCAAAATATAGATTTTCTCGTGCCGTTCTTTTCTTCTCTTCCATGATTCTCATTGCCATTTCTACAGTAGCATTAATTTTAAAGAATCGCTCATATTTCTTCTACTCTATTAGTGTATCTGATGGTCATGTGCCACAATGGTATTATAAAATATCTCAAGCGAACGTCATTTACACGATGTTTTTAGGAATTCTTGGTATTAGTCTTACGTTCATCTATGGAAAGCGAAATCGATTGAACAATTTTCGAAACGGAATTTGGTACATTTTCAACATTGCATGTCTAATTGGTATAATCATTGTCGTAGCATTCATTTTCACTCAATTTCTTTTCTATATAAAGCTGCATAATAATAATAATAAGTCACCCGATGTGAATACTTTAATTCCTGCAGGCATAGTACTCGCTATTCTACGATGTATTCTATTGGTGTTTAACCTCGTGTCCTTGTGCAATTTAAGAAAGGTTAGTCAATCTGATCGGAATGGATTGACGGTTGAAAGAATTCAACTAAGCAAACAATCGCCAGTCTATATCAAGCATTGGGCTGCATCTATTGATGCATATAGTCAAACATTAGACAGAATGACTGGTGATGCTGCTTTGCAATTGATGATGACCTATGAAAAAGGTCAATTGGACAATATTACTAGTATTGTGTTACGTGTTGCTAGACCTACTCGACGAATTCCGATTCTTATCAATCAATGGGATGACACAGAAGCTATTGTCTTCCTTACGATCATTCATAACTTTGATACGACTATAGCCGGTGTGATTAAAGGCATTTGGAGTCGAATTCTTCGACGAACACTTGGCTCACAAAATTGTATACCTTGTTTTCGTCCATTGGTTCTTCGACTAGGTTTACTTGGTTATCATTGGCCCTTTCGAACAGGTATCTTCTTCACAACATATCACCATGACATTGTAGCACAGGCAGCTAATGTACTTCAAAGTATAGTTGAATGGAACAATATGCAAAAGTCTAATTTACATTGTGATGTTCTTCTTTTACCTGCGCTCAGTACTGAACCAGTGGCGAAAGCTATCTATAATGCCGGCTTCTTCCCTATGCCTCTACCACCTACACATCTGCTCGATTTGCGACCACATCATGGTAAAACATGGAATGAATATATGAAAACATTAAAACGAACTAATCGTCGACCTTATCTTCAGCAATTTCTTAATAAAGGTGGTATCATCGAAGAAGTTCATGATTTGAGCAACGTTGAAGTAAGCACAATGATTTGTCGTCAATGGGAGAATATTGCACGTTTTCGACAAGAAAAACACGAACCACCCACATTAGTACGTCCATCTGTACAATTTATTGCAGCAATTGGTCATGTAATGACTGAATCATATCGCTCAGCCATTTTTCTTCGTTTCAATAATGAAGTTATTGCAAGTTCAGTTATTTTCAAATTTCCAAACAAACTTCTCACGACCGATATTCACGGACTGACTCATGAAAAAGCTCGACCTATGAAAGCCTATTTTGTTATGCTTCAATGGGTAATTAAAGAAGCACTCGATAAAAAGTATGATTTCGTCGACTTTGGACCTACAACACCAGAACCTAAAATAGATCTCGGCTGTATTCAGATACCTATGGAAGCTGGTGGCTATTGTGGAAATCCTATTATAGCTTTTGGTATCAAGAAATGTGGTGGACTAGTAGATACTGTACATATGAAAAAGAACCCTTCCCAACAAGCAACACATGAACATAAACGCTTTAAAATTAAAACGAGCTCTTTAACAACCAGCACTCAACAGCTGGTGGCTAGTGATCTTACTCATCAAATTATTTCTAACGATTCTTATGTTGCCCAAGCACAAGATTCTTCAGAAAGACAGCATTCGACATCAGCCATTTTACAACTGGATCATATCAATAGGTTAATGAATAACAACAGTTCTCGTGCAGAAATACTTGGAGATGTGATAGAAATATCAGATAAGCAGGCAATCTATCGTCCAAAAAACTTCAAACCAATAAAAAAGAAAAAACCAGTCGATTCTGACAGCACTGATCAATTCCGTCAACATTCACCGAATAAACACAATTTCCCAAAAATCAAAAATTATGCAGGAAGTAAAAGTCAAAACGGTTTCCTTTCAACAAAAGATGAACATGCACCGATTATACCTCTTTATCAACATGAGAACCTCAATCTATCCATGATAGGCAATCACAATGAAGCAAATAATAGCGAACTAATGTGTAGGTCTGTACTAGAAACGCAAGTTTTGAAAGAGACACCAACATCAAACAAAGACACAGACATAATTCTTCAACTGGCACCGTCATATCCTCATTCTCCTTATCCACAACCAATCACAATACTCTAAGAAATCTTTATTAGATCTAGCGACCAATAAACATGTACATAATGCTGTCGGTGGAAAAAAGTATCCAGAACTTTGATATAGAATATACTTTAACATCAATACCTTTTTTTTTTTTGAATGTCTCTAATGATGATTTTCAATGAAATCTCTAATAGTAAACATCCTTCTAATGCAATCAACGTGATAGTTGGAACAAGCTTGATTAATTTTCTAATAGACAACAAAAAAGAAAGAAACAAAAAAAAGACACAGAATCAGAAAGTATTGCATTTCACTTGGCCGTATAGAATGCACAGTAATTTACCCACTAGATTATCTTATGTGAATTTAATACAGTGTTCAAATATATATGATAGAAATTTGCACCTTTCCCGCCACAGACAATGACAGATATATTAGAAATGACACATCATAGACGTGACAAATACCTTAACATCGCATGCCTCTCCTTCCCCGTGTCACAAACCGTGACAGACATTGTTGATATTCAAGCAAAGGTTGTGTATGAATAATGTTTCATTATAATATATGAACTACTTTCTTATTGCAATTCTGCAGAATTATCCCTTTAGCAATGGGAAATGTATATATAGATATATGTTTTAACCTTTTGCACAGATTCTAATTTATACGATCATTTATTTACACTAGGCCATAACAACATTCTCTCTTTCGCTTAATTTGCTAGTATCACACAGCGTTATCATGTGATACAATTATGCATGTGTATCAAAAGGAAATAAGGAATTTTCAATCTGAAAGTATTCGAAAATCTATGAAAAGTCATATGAATACGAATCTTATTGAAAATACTTTGTTATCATTGATTTGTATTTTTAACAGATGAATATTATCTAGTATTTTCATACGCAAGAATCATTGAAATATGTAACGGATTGTATTCATCTCATCAACTTTGTCATAAATCATGCACCATGATCTTCACAATAGAATAAATCAATTAATCAATCATAACATGAAAATAAAATCTTGATCTCAATGAAATTAGAATTCTTACATTAGTGTACATCATCGTTATCCAAAAACAAAAGAAAGCTTTTAGGAATATGAAATACAATAGAGTTACTTTCATCGTAATGTGTTCTATCATAGATATTTTTTATTTAATATTCATTCTTAATAAGTATGTTCAAATATGAAATAAAATTTATATATTATAAATGAACTTATTTTATTGAATTACCAGTATATGCTTACAAAATAAACATGAAAATAAGGTCAATCATATAAGAAAAAGAAAACATCTGTTCTCATGTAATATAGAAAATGATAAAAAGAAAAAAACTACATCGTTTTATATTATCTTCTATTCTAATCGAAGTTTTAATTCAATATAATCTAAATAAAGACCACATTTTGCATGTAATGAATCATGATTTGTTATTGATACATAAATATTACAACGTTCATTACCATGAATTTCAACAATACCAATATTATAATAAAACCATAAATTTGTTTTTGTTAAATCACAATTAAAACATCGATACATTGATAAGAAATCATCTTGTGTTAATTGTTTATATGCTATTTTACTAGAATTTATTTGTTCAGCAATAACAATAAATTCTGTATTACCTAATATATATGGTAAATCAAGTTTCATACGACAAATTACATCATATTGTCCAGGAAGAATATTTTTAAATTTTGTTTCAATATGAAGTGAATAACAAAATTCAATTGAATCATTTATATAGAGTACTTCACCATTTAAACTTGATGAATCAGATATAGTTATATAATTTCGATTTGTATCAAGAGTTACTTGATTGAAATCAGTAAATGATATACATTGACGTTTAAGTAATTCATAATAGATCAATTTTGAACGACACGATGAAGAAAATTCATTATTATTATTATCAATTACAATAGAAGAATTTTTAATAAAACGACGCCATATTGTTGAACCAAATTTTATTCGAATAAGATATGACCAAAAATCATTACTAGTAAAAAGTATATGTAAACGTGAACATGTTCGACTTAAACGATCAATATCATTGATACTTAAATAATTACCAATATGAAACCAAATTGAATCAATAAGATCAGAAGACCAATCATGTTGTTCTTGTTTTGTGACCATTTCTTTAATATAAATACAATTGATGATTATTTTTAAGTAGTATGTATGTTTAGACTGATGCCATCCTCTTACCTAATCGATATGAGAACTATTCGGTCACATCACTTACTCAGTTTTTTTTTTTTTACTCTTATTGAATCAATAATGATCGTATGCAAAATGTCTGCTGCTCTTGAAGAGTTAATCACCGTTACATTAAGGAGAAGTCTGCAGGGTCATAACAAGGTTTCAACCTTCATCAACAACGTCGACTGTCGTTGTCCTTAATTTGATGAAAAAAAAAAGAATGACAATACTTTATGATAGTAATGGTACTATAACTTACATGTACTGTCTATTTATTGACAGCAATAATTGCAAACTGAAAAGCGCGACAATCTTGTATATGTCTATGCAATTCGTTATAACGAGTGAAAGACAAGAACAATAGATAGTGTCAAACAAAAACAACTGACTACTTTTCCCTAGACAATTTAATTTAATACACAAACGATTAAAGTTTATTGTATATCCAGTTTTCAATGTTTGCCTTCATTAAGAGAAAATGTAAACGTGAACATTAATCTCTTCGTTTTTTTTTTCCCAACACCAAAAAAGTTCAGTGTCGTTCAATCATAATGATTGCGTTGACAATTTGTAATAAGTACTTTAATAATGAATGATACGATACATATTCTTAATCCATAGATATATGTAATGTACTTGATGAAAGATTATAAAAATTTTAATTGTGTCATTAGTAAACGATTGCTTTCCTTGTTCTTTTTTTTTTTGTCTTGTTGTTCAATGAATGTTTGTCATCTGATAGTGACATCTATAGAAATCGATTCTATCAATAGGTTGTAGATATAAACAAATAAGAAAAAAAAGAAGAAATAGAAATTTCGCAATAATAACTTTTCACAATACTATCATTTAGTGATAATTGAAAGACGAATCTTTTATATAATTATGGTTCGTTCACCTAAATCAAAACCACATCGTAATTCTAGTTCCAATGAAAAAAAGAAAAGACGAAGAGATTCATCATCATCTGCTTCTGATGAGGATAATAAACGTTATCAAAGACGACATCAAGAACAATCTCGTGAAGATAATAGATCACGTTCAAGTAAAAAAAAAAAAAAAATTTCTACAATTCATATAAATATATATAATAATTCTTTCTCTCTATATATATTTAGATGTTCGTATTAAACAAGAACCTATAACTGATGATGATGAATCTCGTCGACATCGTCAACAAAAATCATATGAATCTTCAACAACAAATCGTCGTAATCCACATAAAAAAGAAGATAAAACATATCAATGGGGAAAACAAACTGAAAAAGAAAAACCAAAAGAAACTCCAGTTGAAAAAGAAAAACCTAATTTTGGTGTATCCGGTGCATTACTTAAAGATACAAATACATATAAAGGTGTTGTTATTAAATATAATGAACCTATTGAAGCACGAAAACCAAAACGACGATGGCGTTTTTATGTTTTCAAAGGTGAACAGGTAGAGTCAAAATTTAAATCTATCCAATGAAATTTCCTATGAAGATAACAAAATAAATTAAATAATAATTTTTTTTTTTGCTTAATAGGAATTACCAATGTATCAAATTCATCGTCAATCAGCATATTTAATTGGTCGTGAACGTACTGTCTGTGATTTACCAGTTGATCATCCATCATGTTCAAAACAACATGCTGTTTTACAATATCGTTTAATGGATTATAAACGTGATGATGATACAATGGGACGTCGTGTTATACCATATATTATTGATTTAGGTTCAGCAAATGGAACATATCTTAATAATCAAAAAATTGAACCACAACGTTATTATGAATTACGTGAAAATGATGTTATTAAATTTGGTTTTAGTACAAGAGAATATGTTTTATTACATGAAGATTCAGCAAATAATATTGAACAAATTAGTGGTAATGAAGATGAAGGTGCAGAAATAAAACAAGAACCAATTGAACCTACAAAGAAATAAATTATTTTTGTTGTGTAGTTTTTTTGTTCTTAAAAAAGAAAACAAAATAATGTATTGTAAATATCTAACTTTTTGTTTTTTTTGTCTTATTTCAGATTTAATAAAGTAATGAGAAATGATAAACAATCAATAAAATCTTCATCTACATTTAGAACATACGATATAATTCTTGGTGTTATTATTCTATTTATTGCAATAAGCTACGCATTAATTAATATTTATCTTCATAAACATATACCCGAATAAAAAACAAAAAACAAATATGAGTAAACGACCTGCACCAAAAGATTCATCAGGAAGAATAACTAAATTATTAAAAATTATTGATAATAATGGAAAAGATGAAAATTTTGATGATGATGAAACTAATGAAGGTAATTATATTTATTATAACATATATGATTTACAGGTTTTTTTTTTTTATAGAAGCATTTATTCCAAAAGCAGCATCTCGACGTTTAGAAGATTCAATTGATGTTGAAGATGATGATTTATATCGACCATCGACAATAGGAATAACTCAAGGTTTAAAAGATTTTCGTTCTGAAATGGAATTAAAAATTGATCATGAAAATCGTCCATTATGGGTTACACCAGGTTGATATTCATTCAATAAATAAAATAAAAAAACATTTTCAAAATTTCTTTCATTTTAGATGGTCATATTTTTCTTGAATCATTTTCATCGGTTTATAAACATGCTCATGATTTTTTAATTGCTATTGCTGAGGTATTCATTTCTTATTCTTGAACATCAATAGACTTATTGATTTCAAGATGCATTTGTTAGGCTTTTTTTTTACTGAATCTTTCAGAAATGCAATAAGGAAGAAGTTTATATATTATAATGAGACGTTGTATCTGTAGGAGGAGGTCTCAATTTTTACTTCTACATCTCAACACTCCTTTTAGATCAGAATAGTTATCTGTTTTATGTAGAAGAGTATAGAAATGATACTGAATTTTAATTATTCTGATATTACAAATGGCTGATAGAAGTTTAAGAAAAGTTGTGGAAGTAGCGAGTAGTCAGTGAAGTCCTTTTGAGACTGAAATGTGAATGTCACATGTGTTCTTTAGCTTTATTATATTCATACAAAATATGTACTGTGAAAAATCATTAACAGATTGTCGCTGTTGTTCACGGATGATCGATCGCTAGAGAAACTACTTGTCTGATTTATTTCCAACAGATTTTTCTTTGCCTTATTGTTTTTCATACTAACATCCGTGTTCATTGAGATTCCAACGCTATCAAAATAAACCCTTCATGTAGACGTATATTCCAGTGCTTCAATGAATACTAGTGTCAGTATGCACTAAGTCGGATCTAAATTTTGTCTTCGGAAAGGTGTAGCCCGAGAAAACTCTTTCTTGGACTCGAAGACTTCAACAAAACTGTTTGGATGAAGATCTGAGAAAAACTAAAACCAGATTTCTGACAGCCATTCAAAGATTTGTATTTGATAAAACAAAATGAAAACATCTCCATGATTTTTCTTGATTGTAGCCTGTTTGTCGACCGGAATATATTCATGAATATAAATTATCAGCTTATTCACTTTATGCTGCTGTATCTGTTGGTTTACAAACAAAAGATATTGTTGAATATTTACAACGACTTAGTAAAACAACAGTACCAAATGATATCATTGACTTTATTCGAGTAAAATAATTTCATTGAAAATTTTTTATAATAAAAAACCATACTTCTTTTTTTTTGGTGCATAATTTTAGTTATGTACATTAAGTTATGCAAAAGTAAAATTAGTATTAAAACATAATCGATATTTTGTTGAAAGTGCTTATCCTGTATGTTATTTTTATTTTTTATTTTTTGTCATTTTCTTTAATATCATAATCTATTAGGATATTTTAAAAAATCTTCTTCAAGATTCACAAATTCAAGAATGTCGATTAGTAACAACAGAAAATAATTTGGATACAAATGCAATAACAGAAGTTTGAAAATACGGAAAAAAAAAGAAAGAAATATAAATGTTATTATTTTATTATTGTTTAGAAACCTCGACTTATTATTCCTGGAACAACTGCAGCAAGTACAAGTACAACAACAGATACTCCAACAGCCACAACAAATGAGCAAGTACCTGATGATATTCGACGTTTCTATGAAAAAATTGATCGAGATGAAGAAGATCTTGAAGATTTAAAAATTGTTTCATTTGAAATTATTCAAAATAAAATTGAACTTTTACGAAAACGGTAAATACATTTGAATTATTGTATTAGATTTTTCTATGTTGTAAATAAAATAGTTGTCAAGAATTAGAACATCCATTACTTGAAGAATATGATTTTCGTCATGATACAATTTTAAAAAATTTAAATATTGAACTTCGACCTAATGCTATCTTACGTCCATATCAAGAAAAAAGTTTAAGAAAAATGTTTGGCAATGGTATAAATTGAAAAAAAAATAAAAAAATTTATAAATTAATTCATCAATTTATCTTTTTAGGACGTGCACGATCTGGTTTAATTGTTCTTCCATGCGGTAATAATTAAACAAAAATTAAAAAAACAAAAAAAAAATCTAAAACAGAATTTCTTCAGGTGCCGGAAAATCTTTAGTTGGTGTTACAGCAGCTTGTACAATAAATAAAAGTTGTTTAGTATTATGTAATTCAAATGTTTCTGTTCAACAATGGAAACAACAATTTAAAATGTGGTCAACAGCTGATGATTCCAAAGTACGATTATTTACATCAGATGATAAAGAAAAACCAAATGGTAATAAACAAAAAAAAAAGAAATTTACGAGTTTATATTGTTTTATTTTTTTTTTCTCTCTCAGATTCATGTGTATGTATCAGTACTTATCCAATGATTGCACGTACTGAACGATGTAATGCTGAAACAACTGAAGTAATGAAATTACTTAAAGATCGTGAATGGGGTTTAATGATTCTTGATGAAGTTCATACAATACCAGCTGAAAGATTTCGTAAAGTTTTAACTATTGTACGTGCACATACAAAATTA